AAATGTTTAGTGTTTTCAGGGGTAATAAGTGGCCACATATTGGTCCACTTTATTAACTGTTCCTGTATTAGAATTTATTGGATACTGGGGTGCATTTTGTCTTATTTCTATTAATGTCTAAATGCGCGTTTGTGAGGTGTGAAAAGATAAATGACTGCAAAAAGAGCAGTTTAGAAATCAAATGTGATGAAGAATATCACAATAAAGTTTTATGAATTAGTGAAACAAATAAACAATGTGTTCAGTAAGTTTATGAATATAACACTATTAGAATTATACTTCTCCTTTTTGATTTTCTCGTTTACGTCTATGCAGAGTAATACAGAGACAATAATGTAGACAAAGAAATACAGAGGAACCCTACCATCAGCTCTTACCAAGTGTAATCGAGACTCATTTGATTAAGCCAAGGTTTTTCAGTCGTCTACAGTTCAATCGATATGGTCATGCGCCCAGAAGAGGCGCTGTAGGCGATGTCGTACTCTTAGCAAAGGCACTCGAGTCGGTTTTCTGCTGCAATAGCCCATTAAAGCTCAACTTTCGCAACACTGTCCTAACGGATACGTTCGTCATACGTCCCACATTGATCGGCGTTTATTTCACGCAGTGTTGCTTATCTGTTAACTCAGACAATTCTACGCAAACGCCGCTGCTCTCGTTTATTAAGTGAAGGCCGTCCGAGGTGACAGGCAATGTCTGAAATTATGTATTCTCGGTACACTCTTGACACTGTGTCACGTAACGTTAGAGGAAGTAATTTACTACCTACAGCCCTACAAGATTTAACCACTTTTTCATTACCAGGGTCCGGCAATAGGGCTTTTCTGTCGAAAATTCGCCGTTTTCCGGAGCACGATTACAACATTTTCTCTTCTTACAAAGTAATAGCGAAAAAGTGAAATGTCTAATAGTGATGATCTTCATATCTATGGAAATATGGATTCGGGTGAATAATGGCTCACATTTCTAAATTCACATATTTTCAAAAACATTTTGATATTTTGTGCAACTGCTACTAGTGACCAGAATGTTCACATGTTCCCCCTTTTTCCACAATACTGATTGCTAATGACAACCATCAACACCCATTTGTTTAAGATTTCTGAATCATGCCATGTAATTCCGCACACTCGTCTTAAATCTTATATTTTCCTTCGTGTGAATAATAATCAAGTACTTCTGCGGAAATGTGAAAATTTGCCCTTCCCTACGTGTGTCACTTCCGTTTTAACGCAAAACAACAACAACAACAACAAACTATTAACACTTCGGTCCTTCCCATGTAAACCCATTTTTATTTCGAAATACCTCATCTGAAAACACTTCAAATAGATTCACTCGTGATCGGTAAAAGTTCTTTCTCGGTTGTTCACAAATTTCATCAATGTTGTTTCACACTTCGATTTCTCATGAAACGTCAACAAAATCACTTTGAAGGTACTAATGCCATAAATACAAGAAACATTTAAACAGGTGGTGCTACAAATGGCAGAGACTTTCCCATATTAGATTTTTATTTCCATTGTTTTCGGCTAGCTATTCGAACTTGCACATATTTTTAGATAGCATCTATCGCCATCCAAAGTACATTCTTTTGAAATTTTCCAAATTTTTCGATTTCCTATTAGTAGAACGGAAATATTATTTTGAGATTATAAAAGAACAGAAAAACCTCATCCTAAATGACAATTTTCTTTAAAACATTTGGAGTAATTTTTAAGAAAATGGCTCTTAAGCGCTACAGTAAATTCGAAATTTGAAGCTCTTTTTAAAATTTTCTTTCTTCTTATCTCTCATCACCTAAAATCTTCTTTAGAAAATTTTTGAGTGTTCGAAAAACTTCATATAAAGTCATTTGAAGAATTTAAACTCACAAATACAATATTGTTTACATATTGCTGGAAATGTGCATAATAAAGGTGTGAGAAATCTTTAAAAAATTACATTTGTGTAATTAAAAAAATTATCCGAATGAACTTTATGTCATATTAAAGAGTGAAATTACCACTGATTTTTTGAAAACTTTGAAGGAAAAATTTAGAGCCGTTTCTGAGAAAATGGCGTTTGAGCATATTTGAAATTGCGAACTTGTGAGTTTGTTTTGACAAAAAACGGTTGAGTTTTCTAGACGCTGTATGTGACATTATTTAAAGCTCATGTACTCATAAATATAATAATATGAACAAATTGTCACTAATATAAAGATTAACGACGTGAGAGACAAGTCAAAAATATTACATCATTGTAATTTTTGAAAAAACAAAAGGATAGAGCAATGTGTAGATTATGTCACTTTATAGAGTGCATTTAGCACAAGGAATATCAATTGTTTAAAGAACAAATTAGAGCCATTTTTGAGGAAATGTTTTTGTAATTTTTAAAGTTGCACAAATTGCACGTGATATTGTGCGAAAAATACTAAAATTTTTAAAGAAATACACATGACCTTAATGAAAGAACATATTAGGGACAACAAATTTAAATTGAAGGAAAAATCTCTATCTTTAATTTTGTAGTTGTAGGAAGACCTCGATAAAGAATTCAAACTTTTGAAATTTTCGAAAATTCAGAGTTAACCGGGAAAATCGGACATATGCCGCCTTTGTAGGTGTGTTTTACTCTATTCTAACAAGAAATATAACGAAAAAAATTGGAGCGGTTTTTGAGAAATTGTTGAAAATGTCCCAGAGGCTTCATGTAAAGTATCCCCAAAACTAATGAATGATTTTCAAAATCGCAGAACTTTGACTCAGACCAAATGGACAGAGATTTCTTCAATTTGGAAAAAATCCTACACGTAGGCGCTAGTGTTGTTTACATACACCACACAGGCAGACGGTCAGGCGTTTTGAAAAAAAACAACACCTTTTTCGGTATCAGGGGACCCCAAAACTTGTATTTCCGTAGAAATATCGAAATCGATTTTCCGTAGCATTACATATCTTTCCCTATATTATACGTATATTACTCCGTATATACGTACTATACGGGAAGTGAAAACGAATCACCAAAAATCCATGAAAGAAACTAGCACGCCACAAATACGAGACAAAAACAGAATAAAAGAAAGCAAAGACAAATTTAAAAAATACGATGAAGCGAAACGTAGCTTTAACGTTCAATAACCATGTCTTAAAACCATACAATAAAACAGGAAGTATGCTTCAATCCATGACCACGTTTTTTATTTTCAGGCTTTCTCTTTTACTGACCAGATTAAAACAAACTTTATAATTATCTTGATAAAGTTTCCAAATAAGATTTTTAAGACTACCAGTTTTTGTTTTTTAAGACAGTAACATCAACTGTTTAAAAAACAAATTGTAATTTTATTTCCATTTTACACTAATAAAATATAAGCTAGTGGTACTAGTGAATGGCACAGACTTTCAGGTATTACTTTTCTATTTCCTTTGGTCTCTGCTAGCTGCCATCTATCGTTGCCCAAAGTACATTTTTTGAAATATTCTTAATTATTCAATTTCCTAATAGTAGAACGGAAATATTATTTTATGAAATTTAAAGATCAGTAAAACCTCGTTCTAACCTAAAGTGCAATTTTCTTTGACAAATGTAGAGTAGTTTTCAAGAAAATGGTGCTTAAGCGTAAATTCGAAATTTGAAGCTCTTTTTCACAGAAAATATTTAATTTTTGAAAAACGTCATGACAAGTTGACATGACTTAACATGAGTTAAGCACTTTAACTCACAATTACAATAGTGTTTATAAATTGCTGGAAATGTATATATTAACGACATGAGAGATCTTTAAAAAATTACGTTTCTGTAATTTTTGAAAAAAATATCACGAAATGAACTTTACGTCATACTAAAGAGTGCAAGCAGCACTGTTCAGTTCTCTTTAGCAGACGGACAGACGGAATTTTGAAAAAAAAACAACTACTATTTCCTTATCAAGGGACCCCAAAAAATATATTTTTCTTGAAATCTCGAAATCGATTTTTCGCAGCATTACATTACATTCCCTATAGTATTCGCATTCGATCTCCGAAACGTAGTGTAAAATGGAAATATAATTACGAATTGTTTAAAAAACATTTATGTTACTGTCTCAAAAAACAAAAACTGTCTTAAAAATTTGATTGGATACTTTATCAAGGTAATATACTATAGACAATCATAATTTAAATGATAAAAACTTTCTAATTGTTTCTAACTTTTAGCGATTCTAATTTTTACTCAGATTACTTTCTCGCCTTGCGAAGTAAGAAGAGAAAGTGATGTATTCTTGCGCCAGAATACGCCGAAATTTCGTCATAAAAAATCTTACTGCCGGGTTCTAGTAACGAAAAAGTGGATAAATCCTATTGCTAAATTTAGAAAAAATCCTCTAACTCGTGGGGTAGCCAGAATCCATGTTTTGTTGGTTCTTCATACCGAAAAATCGATTATCGACAAAACGTCCGTCTGTCTTTACGACTGTGTTTAATGCTAGCGCATAAACAGTTCAGCTGATATTCTTCAAAATTGATATTCCCTTATTATAATTAACGGACTGGAGACATTTGGATGTGGATGGATAATTTCTAATGGATATTTTGATTATTGAAAGCTTTTGGCACATGGGCGGTCAAATTAATACAAATTTGACGCCAAGCTTCGAACATCTAAGTTTTACTACTCTTTGAAGGCATTTGCGAAGCAAAGAACATATATTGCAAACTTGGCGCCTTCGAGATTCTCTAATAATTAGGCAAAAAAAAAATTCTAAATTAGGCCAAAAATCCCGCAAAGTCTTTTGCAATTGACAAAAAATTCATTTCTTATGAGGTCTTTGCATTGGCGATTCAACTGCTTCGAAAAGTTACCAATAGATTGCACCACCTCCTGGGCGGCCGCGACGAAACATTTACCCTTTGTCAGATTTCCCGAAATCGATTGTTTCCATATCAGACGCGACGAGCAGATCAGAGGAGCTTCAAGCAGATTTGTAGCGATCGTGCAGAGAAGCTAAGTGAATCGTGTATTGGGCGCATGGAAAGTTTGGTTCGGTACGTTGGCGAGCAATTCCCAGCACATTACTGCAGTCTCCGTGATCTCAGACTCCAAAACGCTGCAGAAAAGCGGCGTGCACAAGCACCAAGCGTGAAATTCGTAAGGAGAAGGTTTACTTTCGTCGTGACAGAGGTAACATGACAATCTATTTAATACTCATTGATTCTTACGTCAAAGTAACAATCGTTGTGAATTTTGTGTCGCTTTTTTCAGAATTTTCTCATCTGATGAGAACACAAGGCGATGCATAAAACGTCTCGTCGCAGTTTCTGCTAATGCTCTCCCAATCATTGAAGCAATATTTCGCAGCCTCAAGAAAAGCTTTTTATTTCATGAATCGGGCATTTACTTTTTTTGATACCTTTGTCAGAGTTTGATCTTCGCCGCGCTAGTGTGGCGTAGTGGTTGAGTGCCGGCACGTTGTCTCAGAAGACCTGGACTCGAGTCTTGGAGCGGCAAAATAATTTGGTGCTTGAAAACACTTTTGCTGGAGAAAGTATGTGCTTTGCCAGCATCACTAGTTTACTTATTTTTCGAGTCTGTAAAACATAATATTATCTGTCCTGAATATGAGTAATCATTAACATAAACTTCAGCGGTAATATACACCGTTAGTCGTACGTTTTGTCTTTATAGAATTCATTGTGAGACCATCATTAATCCGTTTCGGAAATCATTCAGATTACTTTTTGTGTCTTCGGAATATTTGGCAAAGACAACTGTACGGATTATCTCGTATTATCTTGTATTATCTCCAAATCTAATATTTCACAGCATTCTTCCATCAATTTTAAGGTGATACATTATTACTTTAGAATTCGTAACGTGATATGTAGAGGAAAATGTCGCTACCTTATGAGTAGCGCTAAAACCCCCTCTTATAGACGCGTTGCTCTTCTCGTCAATATATTTACTCCGTGATTTACGACCAGCTGCGCAAGTGTTTTCCACGCGGCTGGCACCAGCTCTTATCTCCAAATGGACATCTGGCTGAGCGGCGCGGGGGCTCTTATCCACAATGGCTCTGCAATCAACTCTTCAGCCCGCGCGATTCCGGACAAAGCGATGCGACATCAAAGGCACATGGACGCCCGCCTCTGTCCGCAAGCAAAGAGAATCTAGGCTCTTCAAATATGGCGAGCTCATGTACGCTCTGTGCAGGGTAATAAAGGGTGTTGACTACAGACGGCAACACTCCTTCCCTTTTATTAGAGGGTTTTTGCTTACCGTGAAACTAGATAACGTTTTCCACTAGCTGTCACCCACGTGGTCATTTAAGGTTTCATCTGCTGATTACATTTTCCAGAATGTTTTTCTCGGAAGGCCTTATGATATTCAGAAATATAACGACAGGGGTGTACTCCTATCGCAAGGGTCTCAGAATGGCTCCCATGCCCAGTGGCGAATCAGGGGGGAGACATGGGGCCATGCGCCCTCCTAAAAAGGCCTAGATACCTTCTTTCATTTGGAAAAATTGATTTAAATATTTATGTTAGAATTATGTAACTATTTAAAAATATAATGTTGTTTAGCATCATATATACGCTACATAAACAATATACAATATAATAACATGTATGTATATTATATAACAGAAATTTGAGATCCCCCACCCGAAATGATCGGCCCCTGCTCACACCTTTAGTTCGCACTTCCTATTTCGTTGCAAATTTGTTTGCTTATGAGATCAGTTAAGCATTTCCAGCGCAATGCCTTTACAAATGAGAATTGTTTACATTTATTGTACACGCTACAAGGCCTACTTCATTTCGTTCCTCTTGCTGTAAGCATCAACGAGCTCATCGACCTTTTCGCTGGCGCGGTACCGTTTTAGTTGTGGGAAGACTCCTTCACACTATCCAACAACAAAATTTAATCAAAAACGAATGGACTGTTTTTGAAAATTTGGAAAATGTACTCTGAAATTAAAATATCGGCTTCTAATTCAAAATGCCGCGACATCAGTCAAATTTGGGGAGTATCAATTTTGGAGAAAATCGTCAGAACGGTTTAATCGCGGTTTAACATCGCAGATGGACGGATCCTCCGCTGTTGTAATTACCCCAGTTGTCACAACACAATGTGCCTGACCCGGCCTCAGCGATTCCGCCAAACTGAATACTGAACATGATAAATTTGCTGAAATAATGCTGAATTTCTTACACCATTCGTGCACCTCAGTCTTTTCTGTATAGGAAACGAATCACTCCACGCTGTTCTGCTTTGGTATATTCTAACAGAGGGGCTGCCATATTGGAAACTATGGCGCTGCTGGGTCACTTGGGGATGCGGGACTGATACCAATTGATGGCCGGAGTGTTTTCATGCATGCGACCGAGTCTGATTGCAATTCTAGTTGTACAGGGTTGTACAGGGTTTTTCCTGTCATTCATTTGACCCACGTATCTCATCATACACTGATCTTCGAATTTAAAAGCACTAATCGTTCTTTGCATTTAGAAAACTCGCATTTTCGCTTTCCTAACTTTAGCCTTTCATACACATGCTTGCTCAGACTAGAAGACGAAATATCGACTACTTTCGATATATCGATTGCAATTCACCCAACAAATGATTACCGGCAGATAAGCATTCATTGTGTTAATTTTTCGATATTATTAACTTTTTTCGTTAATGCTATAAAACATGTCAATAATAGCAAGCGCCCCCTTCCTTTCATTTAATGGAAAAAGTACAAAATTTAGTTGAGTAGAGCTTGATTTTGCTTCTAAACGAAAACTTTGAGTGAATAAACTATATAATTGCTATTACTACTACCAATACTACTACCACTACTACTACTGCTACTGCCGCTACTGCTACTACCACTACTTCTACCACTACTACTACTATTACTACTACTATTTCTACTTACTACTGCTTCTACTACTGCTAATGCCACTACTTCTACCACTACTACCCACTACTACTACTACTACTACTACTACTACTACTACTACTACTGCTACTGCTACTGCTACGGCTTACTGCTACTGCTACTGCCTACTGCTACTGCTACTGCTGCTACTACTGCTGCTACTGCCTACTGCTTACTGCTTACTGCTACTGCTACTGCTACTGCTACTGCTACTGCTACTGCCTACTGCTACTGCACTGCTACTGCTACTGCTTACTGCTACTGCTACTGCTACTGCCTACTGCTACTGCTACTGCTACTGCTACTGCTACTGCTGCACTACTGCTGCTACTACTACTACTACTTACTTACGACTCTCACTACTACCACTACTACTACTACTACTACTACTACTACTACTACTACTACTACTGCTACTGCTACTGCTACTGCTACTGCCTACTGCCTACTGCTACTGCTACGTGGCTACTGCTACTGCTACTGCTTTACTGCTACTGCTGCTACTAACTGCTGCTACTACTACTACTACTACTTACCACTACACTACTACTACCCACTACCACCATACCATACCAACTACCACCACTACCACTACCACTACACATTACCACTACTATACTACTACTACTACTACTACTACTACTACTACTACTGCTACTGCTACTTGCGGGACTGCTACTGCTACTTGCTACTGACTTACTGCTACTGCTACTTGCCTATGCTACTGCTACTGCTACTGCTACTGCTACTGCTACTGCTACTGCGACTGCTACTGCCTACTGCTACTGCCTACTGCTACTGCTACGCTACTTGCTACTGCTACTTGCTACTGCCTACTGCTACTGCTACTGCTACAATTGTGCTACTACTGCCTGCACTACTACTACTAACATACTACCACTACTACTACTACCACTCTACCACCACTACCACCACTACTACACCTACTACTAATAACCAATAATTAATAACGCAATAATAATAACAAATAATAATAATAATAATAACAATAATAATAACAATAATTAATAACAATAATAATAATAAAACAATAATAATAATAATTCTATGTGTATTAAGTGCATGTGTCTGATTGCGTGGTTGGCGTCATTGCGCTGTCGCAGGGGCAGTAGGAGCAATGCGTCCGCAAGCGTGGGCGTGGGCGTGGGCGCTGGGCGCGCTGCTGGCAGCGCAGGGGCTGTTGGCGCCCGGGGCCGGTGCGTTCCGCGTGTGCGTGTGCCGGCGCGTCTACCGCCCCGTGTGCGCCTCCAGCGGTCGCACCTACGGCAACGCCTGTGTCCTCGACTGCGCGCGCGCCCTCGGCGAGGAGCGGAGCGGTGAGTTGCGGCAAATGCCTTCTTGCCAGGCAAGGCGAGCTCAGTAGCGGCTCCTTTCAGCTGTAGCATGTCTGCGTTGGAACTAAAATTTTTTTATGCACCAAGGGCGTTGTAAGCCATCTACTGATCGAGAGGCAACAAAATGCTCGAGGGTGTTTGACTCCAGGTATTTCTGTCGCTGAGACCATTAACACTAGTTAATACACGTGGTACATGCATACTATATTTTTTTTATCTAAATTGATTCAGTTTCACTTACTTACTAATTAACCATATGTTAACGTGTCTCGGTTTGTCTTTTCATATTTCCCTCCTACAATTCTCTTTCATAATTCCCTCCATAAGAGAAAATGTAACAACACATTCAACTGTTTTCATATGACCCTCGTAATCACGACTCTTTCAATCCAGGTAAGTTGTGCAGAGTATATCGAGCTCCGAATCTAAGTCAAAAACAAGCTACAACGTTTCAGTAAAAAATAAACGTTTTTCACTCACTGTCTTTTATACATATCGCTATGTAGTATTTGAGTAACTCCTCGAGTGTACTGATGTACGGTTCCGTCACTCACGGTTAGACCACTTCCCGTGCACCAATCGGGACATACGAGGTGTAATTCGACGCGCTTCGGACTCCTGATGGGGAACTGATAATTTGTTTTAGGATGGTCATAAAATTCTAAGAAATTTGCAAAAACGAATATTTTCGTGATTTGGTCCTGCGGTCTTGGTGAGTAATCCGGCAATTGAATCAACGCTTTGATTAAGCTACCAATAGTACTTAAAGTCATTTTTCGCTCAACACGCCTTAATTTTCTTTCATGAAGTTGGGAACATATATGCATACATCTTTATGGAAACAAGTGAAGTTAATTTGGACAAGTGACTCGACCGGCGAATTTCATTTTAATTTTTATCCAGAGATTTATTGCCATATATATAAAAATAAATTTGCAAAGAACTATAAACGGCATTGCCTTGGAACTTATTTAAATTGAAGAATTTCAAGTGAATACGGGGAAAAGACGTAGACGTAGAGAAAGACATAGAAGAAGTCTTAGAAGGCAAATAATTCGAGAATACAAGTTCGAAGAATTTCCTTTCACGGGAAATGAACTAAAGTGGAAGGCCTATTGAGTTGCTCAGATCAGACGGCCGTGGGTGCACGACTCCGAGAAGAGCATAGCGGTGCCATTTAGCCGGTCGCTGCGTCTGGGCTGCAGCGTTATGACTTAAAAGAATATCGAGAAGACGATAACTTTTATACGAGAAATTAGGATAAGCCATGTGACCCATAGGTGCAACAGATAAATTCTGATTGCCTATAACATTGTTTGGGTTTGATTTTAAAAATATGATCGAAGACAAATTGAAAGGATAACATTACGAAATAACTCTTGACAAAGTCAGTGTTATGAAACAGTTACGTTACCTAAGTTCAGGAAAACCAAAGGTAGATATCGTGCCCAATATCACATAATCATTGCAAGATTTCAAAGGTTAGTTCGCAACGTTTACAAAACATCTAGACTGAACAAAGATGACTCTGAACCGAAGAAAAAAAGAAACGTCAACTCGGAAGCGTCGGCGCCGCAATACACCCACTCACCCCCCCATATATATATATATATATATATATATATATATATATATATATATATATATATATATTCCCATCGAAAATGCTTTTTTAATAAATTTACAACTTCTTCCCATTCCTGTATGCGATCAAAATTTCTGCGCATTTAAAAGGCTCAATGCGCCTTTTAAAATCCGGCAGGTCATTTGCAAACAATGAGTGTACCACAATTCCTACGTACCTCTGGCGCGGTCTGACGCAAAAGAAATTAAAAGCATCTAGAAAGCATCAAGAAACTGCTAAGCAGACTGAAGTTTGTGTTACAAAAATGTTGTAAGAAACAATTGTTCAACAGATTGAGGAGTAAACGGTGTTGTGTTTTTTCATCGGAAATTACTCAACCAACTGATTATATACTTTATAATTGTATAATATACTTTCATATATATACACCGTGAGTCATAAACACGTCACAATTTTCTTTGTATTTAGTGCAAAACAGATGCGTTTGAAGAACTATCTAATGACATTCGAGACTCCATTTTCAAACTTCCGTTTTTTTCTTAAAAATTAGATACATTTATTGCAAATTAGTTCAACGACATGTGCTTTGTTTCAGATGCGTTCGTGCGGCACCGGGGGCGCTGTACAGCTGAAGATTTAGTGCCTGTTCCCATACCCCTCTACTGAGCAACGAAGAGCACGTGACCAGAGCACGAGGTGCGACCACCCTGAAGTATTTTGTGTCTCATTAACAAACTCTAGTCATTGCCACATTTGGCATACTTCTTTACCATTTTATGAGTAACTCTACGTATTAATGTGTACGTTTTGTGGAATATTTATGCAGATTCATTATTTTCGTAATAAAATGTTATGAGAAAACATTAAACATATATTGTATTTTTTGTTTATTCAAATACAGCAGAACCAAACTGGACGTATACATTTGCATCACAATAAACAATAAAGATATTAATTAAAAATATTGTGTATTGAAAATGACTTCACACCATATTTACTTAACATATTTATAGTACTGCTCCTCTCTATACTCAATTGCTTTTCTCTTTGTTCGTACAGATTTCAGAGAGTAAATTTAATTTTGTTTGTACTGAGTGAATTTGATCAATTCAAGAGAGAATATATAAATAAGAAGATACAACATTCTTGCATCTAACTCGTCACAAAATATTGTTTAGTTAAAAGAGTGTTTATCATACTATGGATCGACAAAATGCTCCAAGAAAGCAAATTGGGATTCCAAGCTCTTATCACATAATTTGAGACCACTGTTTTCCAGTGTAACTGAGTGTATTCATGAATGCATACTGCATATTTTCATAGTAGTGCATAGTATTCACATACGTTTTCTCTCAAGCTCACAGTCCGGCTCATAAACGTTACTGAACATGAAAGCTGCTGTTAGCGTGAATACAAACAAAATAAACTTTTAAAATTAAAAATTGCATGGTTGATAATGTTTTACTTTTTTCTTATTGTCGTCAATAACACAATTGCACAATTGCACTTTATTTACCTCAAGAACACATCATACTTTTCTACAATTTAGACCTCAAGTGGTATTGAAGACCTAGAAAATATACTCTGCTTTAAGAACAATTTTCAAAGAGGTCATTTTTACCACTTTTCTTAACATACATTTCTACTTAGGATAGAATTACTTTCTTCAGGGGCTCTAGGTTTGACCAAACTTTGGCACCTCCCAATCTATTGTATAAATGTGAAGTAGTTAACAATTGTAGAAGTTACGTAAAAATAGTATCACTAAATTTGTTGCTGCCAAATTTCGTACGAATACGTTTGAGCGACCAAGAATCAAACGTAGCGTAGTTGCGAATCAAAACTATTACCCCAAAATATTATTTTTTACAAAAACAAATTTCTTATGAGTATACGCAGAACCAGTGTTAAAATTAAAAAAATAAATAAGTGAACCGAAAGCAGAGAACTGACTACTCCCTACATATTGTCCTGAGGCATTTAATAGAAATAGAACTCATAATAGCAGAATTATTGAATATTACTTCAAACGATACTGAAAAAATATTGAAAATATATTTTATCCCTGGTGAGTGATTGGAAAATGTATTTTACTCCCTGGAGAAAGGAGAAATTATGAAATAACATCGTTACGAAACGAAATTTATCGTTACAAAAAACAAACATTGTTACGAAAAAATACGAAACTAACTTTATTTTTTCGAAAGTAACGTCGTTATAAGGAAGAGGCTCAATGCATTTACATAGCAGCGGTAAGTCATGGATCAAATGTACATGTTATGGGTTATGTAGGTAATGTTGAATTAATTCATCACGAAGTCAGAAGAGGTTGTTTTAGGAAAGAAAATGCTAACAATTTTGTTCGTCAATGTCTCCACGGTGCTGAAAATATCTACCAGACGACCGTGGTACTGGTAGTAGAAAATGCATCATGTTATTGAAGCGGGTTTGCCACATGCTTCGTACGAACATCCGGCGCTAAATGGATGTAAAACCACCCAATATGAAAAATTCAACATTCCAAGCGATTAATTTGAATTTGCATTAAAATAATTGCAATTTAATTCTTTTTAAGATAGTGTCCCTATCAAATGCTTGATTAGTTTTATTTTTTTGTGTGAACTTTGTAATTAATAATAATAATAATAATAGTAATATAAAATCTTTTAGTTTTTGTAATAATGAGGTATATCTTAATACTTAAAAATTTGTTCTGACTATTCTTATTACTACAGTAGATGGTAGGAATACTTTAAAGGATAAAATAATTTCCCCACATTTTCATTTTCACTCTCGTTCCGCGTTTAAAAAGATTATTTCAGAAATGCTAACATATGTATACCTTTTTCTTATGGCTTAACGGAAAATGCTGGTAGTGAAATTATACTTCCAAAAGATAACTAATTTTAACGTGTTCTAAAATGAACTCCAAGTACTGTCAATGTAATGCTATATTGTATACTCATGTTGTGCACGACAAGTGAGTATGACTTTTAGAATACATCCTATACTAGAGGTCTAAAAACAAACATTGCTCACTTCTCAAAGTAAACTTGAACGAATTTACAAATAATTAACGATGAAATCATGTATAATGTGAAAAACTAAAAAAAATCAAACTCACTGTCAACGTCATTGTTTTTTGAAAATTTCGCCGTAATCTGAAAACCTGCCCAAAACCGCGCATGTTTCAATTCATTTCCGCCAAATCAATTTTTGTTCCGAGAGAGAGGGGGGAGAGAGGGGGAGAGGGGGAGAGGAGAGAGAGAGAAAGAGAAAGAGAGAGAAAGAGAGAGAGAGAGAGAGATTCCGCCCATTATGGCAATCCTGCATTGAAGAACTATATGAAGGAAGAATTTATAAGACATTGCCTTTCGACATTACACCCTTATAGTTCTATGTTCAGTCCAGTTGAAGTTGCTTGGTCATATGTTAAATCTGCAGTTAAGAAATATCTATCTAGTTGTAAAATATGTATACCCTAGATTACAAGGGCGACCTTTCTTAAGTATTATGTCAAAGGCGTGGTCTGACCGACTACAGAACTAGGGGTAAAAATAAAAACTGGTTTAGACAATGAGACAAATTTAATGGATTGGACATGTATGATATGGAGTAACAAAATACATTTTAATGGTTTTTATAGATATACCCAAATATCTTGTCTCTCACATGAGGCACTTGCTTGGTGCTGTCCATACGTGGCTTTTGAGTTGCGACCGCAGATGTACCTCGTCATGCAACCTTTACTATTGTCTCCGTCATCCCATTATGATTGCTAAACGTTCAGAACAAAACTTGAATGCTACAAGTCAAGGAGTTCGTATTCATTATTCACAATATTAGTCAACAGAGTGCAAAAAATATCACTGCCGTAACTACAAAGGCATAGTTCACTGGATGACGCCTGTTAAAATGGCGTATACCGGAAACAGGCACGCCCAGAATATGTATTTCTCTGGCTAGTCACACGACGAAGATACTTAGAGTTTCAGAAACGTGGAATGAGAGGAAGTGGGTGGGGGAAGCTTTCGTCACTAGCAGCGTCGTCGGACAAACGACGCCTTTGTAATCGTCTCCTATATTATTCAGTAGTATTCATTTCTTTTGCGCCTCTTACGCGCATCCTATCGTTATAAATGAGGTCTCTAAAGAAAGAGAATTTCACGGAGACTTGACAAATTGCACTTTGACTTTAAAAATATGAAGGATTGGTTTATAAAACGCATCTAAATAGTCGTCAAATACAACCCGCAGAACTCAGTCAGCTGTATCGTTAAATAACTCTTAAACAAAGCGTTCTATGACCTTTAAAACTAAACTCTTAACGCCAAAGGCCTTCAAGAAACGTTTTTTACACTGAAATGTACAAGATGAGATATTCTTGGACATTATGTTAAAATTTTGCTGGTTCGGTACTTATCGATACCACCAATGCCACCTATATTTGTGATGGTATTGATGACTATATTGATGACCCTTGGTGATGGTTGCAATTTTTGTGACGTCACGCTTAGGAGGCTTAGATTCCACTATCCTATACAATTTACGCTTTCTGTCTACACCGTGATTTGCGCAGACGGACGAGGTTTATTTGCATAATTATGAAGTCAAGATTCGCTCTCGTAACAACTAGAAGTACTATTAAAAGTAATATTGATACCGATGAATATTATTTCTTATGCGGGTAGTGAAAACATCCATTTAACGTTTTGCGAAGGTCTATACAAGAGTGAAGACGCGTGAAGAGAGTTCAGAGCGAAGACATGTCTTGTTAGGCGTGTTTTGCGTTTTACCTTTTGTAATGGGATGGTCGCACATAGCAGATGACGACACGAAATAAATTTTATTTAATTAAGAACCGCGTCGCCGTTAAGAGCAGCGGGAAATGCCATTTCCTGCTGTACCTGGGAGAGCCGATTAGCGCGCCGAGGGAAAGGAGGAAAAGCGCCTCCTTTGTTCAGCTGTACCCACGGCGGACGCACCCGTCGTGACGTATGGGGAAATAAGCCACCCACAGCCCCAAACCGAGCAACGGAATTACCCGCACCTATTTCTGAGAATTTAAGTGACGGAGGAAACTTCGGGGCAAGTTGCCGGGGGCGGCTTTGCCGCTGGCGCCGTGATAGGTGGAAGTATCTACGGGTGGCGCGACGACCAATTAAAATAGACGATGCGGGGGAGGAATCACGTGGCACGCGAACCTTTCCTGAGGGACAGCCGATGAAAATCGATCGGATCGATCACTTGTGTCGGAAGTAGCCAGGGGATCACTTGTGTTGGAGGTAGCGAGATCACTTTATTTCGGAGGTGGCAGGGGGATCACTTGTGTCGGAGGTAGCGAGGAGGCCACTTGTTTGTGAGGCAGCCGCGAGAACACTTGCTTTTGGGGCAGTAGCGAGGCCACTTAGTTCCGTGCCTGGTCACCCCGAATGCCACACCGCCTCGCCACATCGCAGCCCGACTCATTTGACGGAAGCCGAACGACGGGACGGGACACCACGAGTGAGTGACCGAAAGGGCCATGTGAGTACGAGCCGGGGCGTGAAAGACAATATCACAAAGCGACCCGTCATCGCCCGGGCGCGTTCCCGCCGCCGCCCGCGCTGAGCAACACTGAGGCGCCGTCGACGCACGCCGCTGGCCTAATCCGGGACTGAGTACGGCCGCCGCGACCGCCGAGGGGACGCCACGAAGGGACCTGGGGCAAGCACCGACCGTGGCCGTGACCGCCAGGCATG